TATAGCTCGCGTCTATTAGAATGCCAAGACTCGGCTCCATTAGGCCAGAGCTTGGAACCCGACGCAAGAACGGTACCACCGATAGAGATTTGATAGGCATAATTATATTGACTCGCGTCGCAGTGAAGTTCGAGATGGTTAGCGGACTCATCGACACATGGGTGTATACATTGTTTCTCCAACAGACTAGTTTTGAGCAAGTCGATAACATGCTTCAGATCTCAATATTGAGCTGAGTCTTCAGATAAAAGTGAAGGAGAATCCCATTCACCCAAAGGAGGAAGTCGAGCTACGATCTTGCTAACAGCTGAAGACGCTAAGGCTCGCACTGGATGCAGACGAAGAATATTCCCGGCTTGAGATAATCCAGTAAGCCTGCGCACATCTCGCCGGGTGGTCTTGCCCGCTACAAGTTCAAACTTCTTGACGAAGTCGATCTTCTTGACCAAACACCTGATGTGAAGGCTATTCCGCCTAACGCGCATCAGATTGCCGAGACGTAGACCCCACCCAGCATCACAGGTAGTGCCGCAGACACTATGTGCGGCATCGCTAAGAAGAGCGATTTGATCGGAAGGGATAACCAAACCGACCCGTTCAGCTAGAGGTAAAATAGTAGAGAGATAGCGCGGAACCTTATTGATAGGAATAAGAACCAATATATCATCATAGAAGCTGTAAACTGGCAACTCTGCGAGGCTAGGTTCCAGTTTCCCGGCGAGACGGAGAAGAGTAGACATGCCGGATTGGAGCGAAGCCGGACCGTGCAGAAGTCCGAATGCAAGCCTATCGCATCGATACCATCGGCCTGCGCCTCGGATATAGAGGTAACCAAGGGATGACACTGCATCTCCATTTGAATCTGACCGTGCCATCAGCTGGAAGCGATAGTAGGATCCCAGTAGGATCTCAGGAACAGAGTCGCCGGAGTAGGAAGCTTTTCCAGCCCCTCCAGCCTTGATAACACGATTGACTCCAACGGCCTGAATGACCGGTCTAACTTTGAAACTGGTTACTTTAGTAGGACCGTCAGGTACGGAGTCGTCAACCTGCTTAACAGGGAAGCTGACCACCTTTGGAGCAGCGGTGTCACGGATTACAGCATCGTCATCGATCGGCACCCAGTAGCCGGCGTCGACAAATTTACTCACAGCCTTATCGTACGACTCTTTCTCGGCCAAGCTCAATCGATTGTAGATCTTGAATCCGAAGTCCACGACATTGCCAGGCCAAGGAGAATCGTTGTTATCAGACTCAGAGTTGGCGACCAGCGGGGAAACCGAAACATCAAAGCAGAACCTTTGACTAGGGCACTCCTTGGTTTCCTTCGCAGATAATTCTCTCAAACGAATAGAGAATCCTGGGGCTGCCTCGATCGGTTCCCGCTCCATAGAAACATTCTCCAAGATGATCCGGTCGATCTCTTTCCAGCTTTTATTTTCCCAGTGTGGAGCTGGCGGAACCCGTAGTTTCTGTGAGGATTCATGGTTAAGGAGTAAGTCGGCACCGTGAGGCAAGAAATATACCAATACCAAACCTCACGTCAGAGTACAAGTTACCCAGAGATACTCGTAATACTACTACATCTTCTACTGTGAGACTGTCACCGGTTATACCTCGCAGACTGAACGGCTTATCTTGAGGAGTACCAACCACACCATGATGATCGACAAACGATCTTGAAACCAAATTCACTTGACTGCCTGAGTCCAAACAGATTTGCGCTTCAACGCAGCG